TGTGGACTTTTTGTTCTCACCATCAGGCAATTAGAATGAGAACAAAACCCTCTAGAGACTCTTTGCCTTTTGATAGAAGCACCAGTTTTTAAAGGGTCTGTTGAACATGTAAACCTCAAACACTCCTGTGATGAGATTTACACCCTTGGGCAAACATGAGACATTTTTCTATTTTTTGTTTAAGAACAAAAATTCTTAACTCATATTTTCTCTCCCAAAGACATGATACCAGCTAGTGAAGCCATATACCTGCTTTAAGAAAGATATTTCAAAACATCTTTAATTTTTGGAGACCCACATAAATCATAAATTTTTACTGATGACTCATTTTTTCTCTCCCTAATTATGAAAAAGTTAAAATGCCTTTAAAAAGCATCTCTGAAGGTACTGTAGATAGTTACAGCATGAAGGGGTAGAAACACTGGCATATTCCCTTAACTACAGAAATAATACTCACTTTAAAAACAAGAAATCTAACATTATAATAATTTATTTCTTTACTGAACTACTGATATATGATTTAATTCAAGATCTTGGCAACTGTAGAGAAAAATTATTAATGTTTTAAATATTTAAATTGTCACCTCAGTGAGATTATTTACACTAACAGCAGCAGTTTGTTGAGAGAAATACTACCTATTCCAGTTGTAAAGATTAATGTTGACTTGAATAGCTTGATAAATAAGGCCAGCTTGTAGAAGCAAGGTTTCAGCATCTTGTATATTTCCACTGAATAGCAGTATATGAGCCATCCTTGATTCTTTTGATGGAAGATCTTTGATTGAATTAATGTACTGAACTTTGTCAATCTGTTACAAAAAAGTGTGACAGTTTAACTAACGAAATAAACTAACTAAATCTGCATTGCAATCAGTTAGCTAAGAATAGTTAAACCCCAACTACTTACCTCACCAATTGCTGCATAGGCTATTTCTGCTGTTGTCATGTCCTTGTTAGCAACTGCCATTGCAGCTAAACATGCCCACATTGTTTGATCCTAAAATTAAAACAAAATAAAAGCCCTAAAATTTCTTAAATTCTATATTATAATGAAACACAGTTCTCTCAAAGAGTTCAGGGAGGATGTTCACCTGGTGAAAATTATGCATGGGTACATAACTGTGTAAGTTTTCTCAGTTCCCTAC